GGGCTCATAGGGCTCATAGGGCCCATAGGGCTCATAGGGCTCATAGGGCTCATAGGGCTCATAGGGCCCATATGGCTCATAGGGCTCATAGGGTTCATAGGGCTCTTAGGGCTCATAGGGCTCATAGGGCTCATAGGGCTCATAGGGCCCATAAGGGCTCATAAGGGCTCATAAGGGCTCATGGGCTCATAGGGCTCATAGGGCTCATAGGGCTCATATGGCTCACAGGGTTCACAGGGCTCATCGGTCTCATAAGGCCCATAAGGCTCATATGGGCTCATGCTCATAGGCACGGGGTGTCTCGTGGAATGTTTCGCGAGGTGTCTCGTGGAATGTTTCGCGCGGTGTCTCGTGGGATGTTTCGCGGGGTGTCTCGTGGGATGTTTCGTGAGGTGTCGCCCAGTTGGGTATCGTGAAAACGTGACCATGCTGCGCATGTCTATATCCCTTTCTGGGTTCGTGGGCCCATCATTTGCATCCGTCCTGGCGCCATCGAGGCCCCTACCAAGACGGCCTTGAAGCCAAGAGGACCTTCCACAGGAGCCCAAGGCGATCTCAGACGCTTCGAAGAGAGCCCGAGAGAGGCCTGGGAAGGCCCCACCAGGGGCTGGGCGCCGTTCGTTTTGAGCGCCCCTCAAAACGAACACCTCGAAGCTTTGTTTGTTTCCGCCCTGGCGCCCTCGAGGCCCCCCGCCAAGAGGGCCCCGAAGACGCGACGACCCCCTCAGACCGCCTCGGGAAGCCCCCAGAGGGCTTCAAGGGGGCTCCGAGGGGTCCCAGGAGGGCCCCAAGAGGGCCCCCAACGGGTGCTAACGCACCCCCCCTTTGTAGCACCCGTTGGGTGCCCCCTTGGGGCCTTCTTGGGGCCCTCTTGGGGGCCTGTTGGGGGCCCTCTTGGGGCCCTCTTGGGGCTTCCCGGGGCGTTCTGAGGGGCCTCAAGGGGGCTCCGAGGGGTCCCAAGAGGGCCCCAAGAGGGCCCCCAACGGGTGCTACAACGCACCCCCCCTTTGTAGCACCCGTCGGGTGCCTTCTTGGGGCCCTCTTGGGGGCCTGTTGGGGGCCCTCTTGGGGCCCTCTTGGGGCGTTCTGAGGGGCCTCAAGGGGGCTCCGAGGGGTCCCAAGAGGGCCCCAGGAGGGCCCTCAACGGGTGCTACAACGCATCCCCCCCTTGTAGCACCCGTTGGGTGCCCTCTCTGGGCCCTCTTGGGGCCCGCTTGGGGCCCGTCTGACGGGTCCCTGGTGCCCTGTTTGACCTCCCCCCCTCATCGTCAGGAACTCCGAAGAGAGCTCCGAGAGAGGCCCAGGAAGACCCCGCGAGAGGCCACGCACTGTTCGTTTTGAGCGCCCTTCAACACGAACAACACCGACCCCACCCCAGCACGACCACACCCCAGCACGACCACACCCTAGCACGACCCACCCCAGCACGACCCCACCCCAGCAAGACCACACCCCAGCACGACCACACCCCAGCACGACCTCACCACAGCACGACCACACCCCAGCACGACCACGCCCCAGCACGACCACGCCCCAGCACGATCACGCCCCAGCACGACCACACCCCAGCACGACCTCACCACAGCACGGCCACCCCCCAGCACCACGCCCCAGCACGACCACGCCCCAGCACGACCACGCCCCAGCACGACCACCCCCCAGCACGACCACCCCCCCAGCACGACCACCCCCCAGCACGACCACACCCAGTCGCACCCCCGTGGGATGTTTCGTGGGTGTCTGGTTGAGTGGCTGCCTGTTCGCAGGGTATCTCGCGGAATGTTTCACGGGGTGTCTCGTGGAATGTTTCGCGAGGTGTCTCGTGGAATGTGTCGCGCGGTGTCTCGTGGGATGTTTCGCGGGGTGTCTCGTGGGATGTTTCGCGAGGTGTCGCCCAGTTGGGTATCGTGAAAACGTGACCACGCCGCGCATGTCTATATCCTTTTCCGGGTTCGTGGGTCCATCATGTTGAACAGCCATTTGATGATGCAAGCTGGTGCGAATGGGTTGGGTACGTCCCTGGGTAGTCATTTATGGTTGTGGGTGAGTTTGAAACCGCGCCCTGAGGGATTCTCTCGTGGCCCGATCGGGGATGATTGGGGGATATCGTGACAGTGCCTCCCGAACCTGGGGGGGGGGGGGCGGCTGTGACCTGGGGGGCTGGCGCGCGACCCTGTCCCAGGACGGGCCGCCAATCCTCGCGGTCGACCAGGTGGGCTTGAAGGGCTACGGTTACGCTGCTTCGGACAGATCCCGTTGCGTGTTCTGCGACGGGGCCCGCATTGCCAAGTCTGCCTTTAGGTTACAATTCAGAATGAAGCAGGGGTTGGCACTGAAAGACCTTCGGTACCTTCCCTACGAGCGCATAGCTCGCATCCCCCCTGATTCTAAAATTAACATCCTCGCACTCTTGCGCGCGCGGCTGCGTCGCTCGGGCCGCGGCGCAGCGAACGCGCGAGAGCTCGGAGGATACGCGCTGTCAGCGCAGGCTGCGAAGGGGGGATGAGGAGCACGAGGGGGCGGGGGGGATGAAGAGGGAGGATGGGGAGGATGAGGGGGTGGGGGGGCTGGAGTTCCGTTGCCAGCTGTCGAGGGGCATCGGTCTCGGGCGCCTTTCGCACGCGCGCGTTGTAGATATGTGCTTTCGGCGCACCAGAGGATTTGTTAACCGCGCCCTGGCGCATTCTGAGGCCATCCCCGTTTGGTGAGGGCCCCGACTTGCCCCGTGAAGGTAGTGTGCAATATTTGCTGCCAGTGTGTTGCATCGCATTGTGTAGCTTAGCCGCTGCGTTGCATTGCCTTGCAGCGTTCATAGCGGATGGGCCCGCGCGCCCGCGGTAGTGATTACACGTTCGCTGTCGCGTTTTGCGGCGCGCGAGGCATAGCATATCACGACACATGTATAACATGTCTCTTAAGACCCCCAAACACCCACCCCCAAGTGGAGCTGAAGGAACAATTCGCTCAAAAACCATTCGCTCAAAATGGCACCTGAACCATTTTGAACAATTTGTAGACCACGTGGGCCGCCAAGTGGCCCCGCGTGGCCGACCGCGCGCGCTCTCCGTGGCTGGGGCCTCCCAGAGCACTCTCTAAAATTTGAACGCGACCCCCCTCCCCCCCCCCCCCCCCCCCCCCCCCCTTGGGTCGGAGCCTCCTCCGAAGGGGAGGTCGCGTGCAATTTCTGGCCTGGATGGGGCCTCCCAGAGCACTCTGAAATTTGAGTGCGACCTCCCCTTGGGCCAGAGCCCCCTTCCCAAAGGGAGGTCGCGCTCAATTTCTGGGGCTGGGGCCTTTCAGAGCCCCTGCCGACATCTGAACGCGACCTCCCCTTGGGTCAGAGCCTCCTCCCAAGGGGAGGTCACGCGCAATTTCTGGCGTGGCTGGGGCCCCCCAGAGCACTCTCTGAAATTTGAGTGCGACCTCCCCTTAGGCCAGAGCCTCCTCCCAAGGGGAAGCGCATTCAATTTCTGGGGCTGGGGCCTTTCAGAGCCCCTGCCGACGTTTGAATGCGACCCCCCCTTGGGGCAGAGCCCCCTCCCAATGGGGAGGTCGCGCTCCATTTCTGGGTCAGGGGGGGGTCGTGCTCAATTTCTGGCGTGGCTGGGGCCTCCCAGAGCACTCTCTGAAATTCGAGCGCGACCCCCCCTTGGGTCAGAGCCTCTTCCCAAGGGGAGGCCCCGGGAACATAGGCGCACAGGCGCACGCAGACACGCGCGCGCACAGAAAGACGCACAGAGAAACACCGAGAAACTCACAGAGGCACAGACACACAGACACACAGAGGGACAGAACGGCACACACAGACACACAGAGACAGACGGAAAGACACAGAGACGCACGGAGACCGACAGAGACACACAGAGACACCCAGAGACACACACACACAGGCACGCAGAGGCACACAGAGACACACACAGAGAAGCACAGGCACACACAGGCACACACAGACACCCGCAGACAAATACACAGACACCCCAATAAAACACGTAGACAAACACAGACACCCACATGTGAATTTGCGCGGGGGCAGGGGGCTGCGCTGGTGAGCCGCGCGCCTGTGGAGCGGTGCAAGCGCGTCTCCTTAATTTCATTGGTATTGTCGTTCTCCGTCGCCGTCGTCTCCTCGCTGGATGCCCCAGTCGCCGCTTTCGTCACGAGGATGGGGGCGGGCCAGAACTTCAGGGCAGGAGGGGGGGGGGGGGGGAATCACGTCAAAGCGCGCCGCCTCGGCGATGCGCCACCCGTGCAGTCGCTGAGATTTGGCGCGGGTTTGCAAGCGCACTTACGCCCTGCAAGACAGCAGTTCAGGCCCCACCCCCTCCGCACTGACGCCCTACAAGACAGCAGTTCAGTGTCCCCGGCTCGCTCTCGAGCGGAGTGGGAGATCACGGGGGGGCTGGCGCGGGCCGCGTTGGCCCTCGCAGGGGGGGGCTCTGAAAGCTCAGCCCCGAGACTCGAAAAGAAGACGTTGACAGCAAACCGAGCCCCAGGGAGATCAGCACGCACGGTGTCTTGGTCGTTCTCGGGGCAGGTTGAGATAAAGGAAGGCGCCGCGCTCGCAAGACTGACTTCAGCGAATAGGGGCTCCAGGGGCTCGGCTTTTTTATACATAAGCAAAAAAGACGGCCTCCAGGGGCTCGGCTTCTTCTAAGCCGTCCGACGTCGCAAGGCAGTCCGAGCGCCACGGGCATTCGGCCGCGCGCCGACAGGGGGGCGGCGAAGTGCGGCAGGGGTTCTGCGAGGTACGGGGCGTTTCTGGCGACCCCCCACCGGTTGGGTTTCAGAGAAATTCTCCGCGGGCTCAGGGGGCACCCCTTCTGTCCAAGACTCCCCCCCGCGGTTCGCCGCCCTCCTCGACGCGCCGCTGGAGGGGGGGGGGGCGCGCCCCCATCATGCCATTCTGTCCTGTCTGCAGCCGCTCATCTCGGTTCGTTTTGGCAGGCAGGCCATCCATTGGCCTGCGGCCTGTGCCCGACTGACCGCGTCAGTTCTCGGGCATGGCTCCAGGGGCTTCCAGGCAGCAGAACACGGCGGGGGGCGCCGCCATGACCAATGGGAAGAGGATCTTCAATAAATGGAAGCACTTGCCGCCGAAACAGTGCCTGAGCTGCGAGCAGACGACCCACGAGCTCGACAGGGACGCCGTGAACGAGCCAGCTTTCTTTGCGTGGACCAAGACGAGCCGTGACAAATCATCGGCTGGTGGCTACAGGTTGTGCGGCAACGAATGCTACCCGTGCTCGGACGTGCGGATGGGGCATTTTTGATGGCGTCTCCCAGGCCGAACTGAACGAGAAGAAGAGTCAGAACGCCGACCTGGAAGTCAAGTGGGTTGAGTTGCGGAAGCGCAAGGTCGGTGGCCTCGAGAAGCACGCGAAGGGCGACAAGGAGAAGGTCGATTTGTCGAAGTACACGCTCAAGGTTACCGATGTCAAGAGCAAGTTCGATCAGTACTACGTTGAAGGCAGCTGGATTCCTCTATGGGACTTCGTGGTGGACCACAAGCTCCCGTTCAAGAAGGGCGTCAACTCGGTGGACGAAGTCGCGCGGCACATCGAGGCGAAGCATTCGCACTACCGTGTTGCCGAAGATGACGATGGAGAGATTGGCGTTGAGGTCCCTGACGAGCACAAGGGCGTGAAACGCTTTAGGCGCGGTTGCAAGACGTCGGCGGAGCAGCGCAAGTCCAGGGTTCACAATGACGAGGCCAGCATGAAGGACCACCACGAGGATCTCTGCGGCCTGCAAGCTCGGCCCGACGCCCCGCGCTACTTTGCGGGAGGGGGCGGCGCGCGCGCTTCTGCGGGTGCGCAGGCCGTCGGTCATCGCAACGGCCCCATCCCGCCCTCCGCGAGCAGGCCCTGCCTCGACTCGACTGCGATTTAGCGACGCCCGACGGAGACCGAGCGGAAGCACCGTCGCGCATCGCAAGATCTCGGTCGAAGCGCGGCAGGGGCCTGCTGTGCGCCACACTCATTCATCTCCCTGCTCTCCCGCCGCCCTCCTCCCAGGCTGCAGCGAGGGCTGTGCAGCCGTCCACGCCGCGCTCCGAGTGCACCGGCGGCTTGCGGAGCTTGGCGCAGAGGCGGCTCGACGACGGCTCCGATGCTGCATCCATTGCGACGGACGTCGCTGAAGCCGACCAGCCGCGGGGCAGGATGCGAGGCAGCTTCGACGCTGAGCGCAGCAGCGCGGCAGGCGGCACCGATCGGGAGGGCGACGACGAGGTCCCCATAGCCAAGAAGTCGACGGATGGCAGCCGCCACCGTGGTAATGATGAGGCCTCGCTGATCCATACTGCAGGCGAGCTGACGACCGCCTACATTGACGACTTCAACCTGGCGGAGCACTGGAACCAGCGCCCTACTAAACGAGCTTTCCAGACCGTCATAGGCAGGCTACAGACCATGGCGCGGAGGTGCGGCGCTCTGATATATCCCGACAAGTGCCAGAACTTATCGCTGCAGCTGTCGGATCGTGCCGACTTCTTGTAGTCACGTCATCGCGTTCTGGACGGTCTCCGAGGCGACTTCGCTAACTTAGTCTTTGGCAAGCTTGTCGGGTGCGAGTTCTCCGTCATTGAGATGGTGTTCAAAGACGCAGGTGGCGATCTCATAATCAACATCTTCACGTCGACAATGCAGCACGTGGCAGATAAGTCCATTGGGACGCGGGAACAGCACTCTCTTCACCTGAACGCGTTCCTGAAGTCCATCCAGTGCAAGAAGAGCGTGCCCACCGAGACCGTGGGCTTCAATCTGGTTGGGTTTTGTCCAGGTGTTGAGAAGGCGCAGCGGACGCTGACGTTGGTATTCCTCGAGAAACTTTGGCGCCAGCCAGACGAGTCCACCATCATCCACGTTGCCAAGGTAATCGAGGAGATCTTTGGGACAGACTTGCCTCGCAACTTTGACTTCAAGTCACTCGAGTCAGATTGGCTCGTGGGGGAAAAGTGGTGTTGGCAAGTCGCCGTGGACATTGCGTTCACAATTGCCGCTGCACGTGTGCTGGAAACGCTTGGAGGTTCCAACGTATTCGGCCCAGGAATCAAGGCCGCGAACGTCAGCATTGTTGATAATCCGGCGATGGTCTCGGCCAGGGTCAGGGCTTTGGTGCGGGTGCCAGGTCAGCGCAGCAACCACTTGAGGCGAGCCTGGGACGTCATGGAGCAACACAACGAGGACAGTCAGGGCGCCGGCAATGAGTGCGCCGACGCCGACGCCGTGACGCGCTTGAGGAAGACCGCGCAGGACGTGCTGGACTCCATTAAGGAAGAGTCTAACGTCGATTGGGCCAACGGCATCAACAAGTGGCTGGACGTTGCAGATGACCAGCGCCTCTTGAACGATATTTGCTTGCTTGGCAACTTGTCGTATGCGAGCGCGCGGACAGATAGTCAGCCCCCTCCAGATATGATACAGGACGTGGACCAGGGCAACGAGATGGCGAATTGCATTCTGACTCTTGCGGATCATTGTCTGCGCCATTCCGACCACAACGTTATCATGGGTGACATCGCGAACCCTCGCGAACGTCAGCAAGCGCCCGAAGCCGCACCTGATGATCCCCACGGCACCGTGTACGACCAAGGCATCACGATGTTCAAATGGCTGAAGATGGCGATGGGCGTCCTCACGCACTACGACGCGTCGGCGAACTCGACGGTCAGCCAGGCGAAGGCCATCACGGACATTCCACGCAGAGTTCAAGGTCGTCCTGGAGTCGGTCAGCACGTGGGATTTTACTAAGTGCATGTGGGTGGCTGGAGAGGGGGCCAAGGAGCAACGGTTCTTGATGAGCGGCGTTGATGCGCTTCTGCCGAAGATCAGCGTGTGGACGAACATCGCCACGAAGGCAAAGGCGCACATGAAATTCCTGGGCGAGAACGACGAGACATACCAGAAGATGGTTAAGTTTGCGACTACCTTGGCGGAGCTCGACAGCGAGGCGAAGGCGCTGGCGACATCTATCTCTACGTGCTTGCTGGCATCGTGTTTCGTGAGGTATCGGGAGGAGAAGCCCGACGTCCTGAAGACCAAGGTCCCCCAGCAAGTGGCGCGCGCTGAGCAGAAGTGGAAGGTTTCAGCGTCGAGCCTGCCGCTGACCACGCAGGCCAAAGTGGTCGAGGCCCTCGGCGCGGATCAGCCTTCCCCGAGCGGTGCCGCGAGCTCCAGCGTCAGCGGCATCGACGTCGTCGACTTGCGCTCCGAGGGGAGTTCGGCTACGACTGCTGCGACGGTGGCGGATGTGCCGGATGCTGGCCCGAAAAAGAAGGTGCGGGGGCTCACCAACAAGAGTAATATCGACTGAGCGGGCAGAGGCCGTTTCTGTTCTGGGGTCGTGCGCGACGGCAATGGCAACCGATTCCGTTTGGGCGCGCACTGGAACATCATCAGGAACATCGTTGCCGTCGGCAGCATCACCGCTGGTCAACGCCACCCTTTTTCATCGATGGGCTCGGCGTGTCTCATCGTCGTCGCGGCCGCGGCGGCGACAAGAGAGGACAGGACTGAGGGAGGAGGAATAGGAGGAGGAGGAGGCGCAGGAAAAGGAGGGGGAGGAGGAGGTCCATGACGCGGAGGATAAGCAGGAGTATAGGAATAGGAATAGGAATAGGAACCACTGGCGATGCCAATCCATACAATGCTACCCTCGGCCTCGCTGGGCCAATTCGGCCTTGCTGAGGACCTTGGGGGGGAGCCCTTCACGAATTCTTCTGAGGTACTCACGGCCTGTTGCTGACAACTTGTTCGTACAAGGCTTAGCAAGCGAACGGACTTGCTTGTCAGCAATGGCCCCACACTTCCCACAGAACCAACAATTCAAAGAGGCGTGCACATTGAGGTGGTGAGATGGATGCAGCCAGCCCCCCCCGACGTGGATCCGCCCTCCGACTGGAGGAGAGTAAATCAGACCATTCACATTCACTAAGCTGTGGCACTCCGAGGCATGCCATTCCTTTAAAGTGTCCAAGGGCGCAGAGCCGTGGCACCTCAAGCATCTCTTTCGGCAGTCGGACAGCCGATGACGAGACAAGAGAGCAGCAACGGCAGCAGCGGAGGGGGGCGGCGGAGGGGGGGGGGCTGAGGGCCTCCACGCTTTTTCCTTTCACCACTCCGCTCCAGCTGTTTTTCCTTAGCCAGTGCATCCACAGTCGCACGAAGGAGGCGGAGGCGCACCAAACGTGCGCGACGCTCGTGCAGCAACAGACGGTAGCGCTGGTCCTCGGGCGCGCGGGCCTGTGCAGCAGCCAGGCCCGCAAGCTCGTCCACAACAGCGTTGCCAAGAATCAACGTACGTATTCCTTGCCCGTTGGCCAACTGAGTGGCCGTCATATGAGAATGTGTGAAGAGGACTGACACATGGTGAAACGGTCTGTGGGCCATGAGGTCACCGATGGCCGCCCAAAGGTCAGCGTCAGCACCTCTTGGCTGGCGAAACCGTTGTTCGTACCAGCCTGTGGCTACATCTGCAAAGTCAGTGACAAAGGTGAGGAACTGCGTGGTGGCCCAGAGGGCCAGATACAAACACTTTAATTCACCTCTGGCTACGACCTGCCGCATGCCGCTGAGTGGCCCAAAGATCGAGCCACGCGGAACGATGGCGGGCTGCAGGCGGGCAAAACACGTGATAGCCAGGCCCACGCGTCGGAGCCTGGGGCTACGGCTGTCGGGCCCTCCGCTCGCGTCGCCAAAGATCAGCGCAGGGTCGGAAGGCGATCCTGGGCCAAACAGTCCTGGCTCCAGGTGTGGGGCGCCAGTGAACTGCCAGGCGTCCTCTGCAGGCGGTGGGCTCACTTCCGCCCAGGGGGCGGGTAGAAGCCCTCGAAGCCAGAAGGCCTCAGCAGTGTTGCACTGCGTGACGGCCTGCGTGCACAGGTCATCGGAGTCGGTGTACGGCTTGGCGTCCACATTGCACGAGCACTGCCAGTACCTGTGCAGAGGGGTGCCCACCTCGGTGCCGCAGCGGTCGCACTTGTCGGTGCCCGTGTAGTTCTTGAGCTCCTGCTTCTTCCGTTCGTTGTTCCAGATGCCGCCTGACGCCACTAGCACCATGATCTCGCACAACCTTCTGCCGTTGGGGACCTGCGCCAGGTGCCTGAGCAGCTGGATGTATGAGGTGTTGTCGACGCCCTGCTCCAAGCCCCCGCCGCAAAAATGTCGTGCTGCCTGGGTCCAGAGCTGAGCTTCGCAAAACTTACGAATATCTGCTAGCAGGTGATCGTGTCTATCCACATGCGCGTTGCCTGTGTAGATGCTATCAGGAAACTGCCACTCCTCGCTGCTGTCGGGGCCTGTTTGGTAGGACCACGTGGACGGATCATGTGGGGTCCAGCCTAGTCTGAGCAGCGAGTGCATGATGGCCCCCGTCGGGCCTCGGATCTGCCGTACCTGTGCCGGGACGGGTACAGCTTGCATCTGCTTCAAAATGATCGGCCAAGCCTTGCGAACACCTGCTCGGATGTCTGGGCAGTCCCTCCAGATCTTGAGCCAAGTGTCCACCGTCTGCACGGGGTAGAGCACTGCTGGGTCAGCGCCTGGGGCCCGCAGGGCCAGGACCGTGGTGAGGCATCGTCCGCGCGCCGATGAGGCGCATGTCTGAGCCAAGCGTCGCCTGCACCTGGTCAACTGCTCGCCGAAGAGCCCGTGGACCTGGTGGCCGTAGACGCCCGCGGGGAGCCCTCCCTGGCGCTGGAGCTTGGTCATGGCGCTGTACTGGCGGGTGGCTCTGGTGAACCTGCGGATCTTGGTGCTCATGAGGCGATGCTTCGCTTCACGCTGCACCCTGGTGGCCCTCGCCCTCCTGCCGCACCCAAAATCGATGCCGAGGTAGGTGGCTTGGGACACTGGCCGAATCGTAAATCCAGCACGTCGGACTAAGCGGGCAACAGCACGCGCGTCACTCATGAGGCTGCAGACCACGACCGATTTGTCCGCAACCTTGAGCTTCCTCGCCTGTAGCTCGCGGCACGTGGTGATGATGCCACTGGCGAGCTCCAGGCGCACCGCCTTGCTGGATCCCTTGAATGTCTCCGAGACGTCGTCGACCCATAACCTCGCTCCCATTCTCGGATGGGCTGTGGTGACCGTGACCATGACGTGGTGGGTCATCATCTTGGCGAAGCGGGTCCCCGAACGGAGACCCTGCACTACGCTGAGCAGCGGGTCAAACATCTCTGGCACAGCATTGTCCTGCTCCAGACAACGAGGAGCAGCGCACTGTAACAATTCCAAATATAGGATAACAGGAGGAAGCTCTAGCCGCAAAGCTGCGGCGACTAGGATGTCCCACGGGATGCTGTCGTAGAACGTGGCGATGTCGAGCATCCCGTGGCCGTACTTGATGCCCATAGCATGGGCTAGTTCTTCGTCCAGCGCCCTCAGGAAGGCCTCCTGCAGGCATGAGTTGCCTGGCAGGGCGGCGTCCCAGTGGCGAGCACTCTCGGCCGACCAGGTCTGGACCGTGGGTTCGCGCATCAATGACCACAGCCGTCCGAGCATCGATACTAGCCCGATGGCTCGGTCGCCAGCCGTCTTCTTGGGAGTGAGCTTCCCAATGACAGCCAGCGTCTGCGCTGGCCACGCCAGCGTGGCTTCCACAGCCTCCAGGATGAGTAGCAACTCCGCCTGGCCCTCCACGGGGAGCCTCTGGTAGTCAACAGGGGTGACCATGTCGATGCCCATGCCTGCCTTGGCCTTCATACGTGAGGCCGCCTTGCCGATGTCGGCCACGTGCAGCGACGGTAAGGGGTCGTCGCTGGCACGGAGCCTGATCTGCCTGAAGAGTTCGCGCACGTCCTGCAACTTAGGCGCCGTCGGGGCCCAGAGCTGCTGGTACTTCTGCGCCTTCGCGCCCATGAGGTCCTTGGGGTGGTAGACCAGCTGCTGGCCGACCACGATCTCCACTGGAGGGAGAGGCCCCTTCTTCAGAGACTTGTGGAGGATGCCGTTGGCCTCAGGCTCCACCACCCACGATCGGAAATCATGGATGGCCGCCAAGACCGCCAACCTCTGCGCTCGCTGCATGACCTTCTTCGCTGCGTGAACGTACGAGTCCAGCACTGCGGGGTTGATCTGACACTTACCCTCAAGGATTCTGATCCACTCGTGCCACGGAGGGTCGAGACCAGGACGTAGCGCACTGTGAGCTCCGTCTGGCCTGTCCACCGCTGCCTTCTGCGCAGCGACCTGGTACAGTTCGAGCTGCTGGTGGCCGTTGCTGCGCTGGCGATGGCGGGCGATGGCAGCGACGATGGTGTGGACCTGCGTCCACCACTGCGCACGCTGATCCCGAAGGTGGACCTGTCGTCGGTGGGCCGCTTGCCTGACAGGGCCCTCCACCAGCCTCGCGCCGTGCGCGCGCCGTGTGCGAGGGAGGTCCAGGCCATGGTGTCTGGTGATGCTAAGCTCCACCGTGGAGATCCAAGCTGCATACATTCCTGAAACTACAGTAGAGTGGGAGGCCTCGAGCCGAAATGCAACGGACTTGAGGAGGGACGGAGAAAGAGAATGAATACAGTCCTGCCCCGAAGCAAATCCGACCTCACGCCTGCTCTCATCCCATAACTCGCTGGGGATCTGAAACGTAGCCGACGGCGAGGGGTCGCTTTCAGGGGCCTGTAACGGACTGGGCTCAGGGCCCGAAAACTGAAAAGCAGACCGGTTTAAATCGGGATTTAAATCTTCCCCTGAACTCGGTGGGGGGGGCTGGCCCGAATTGGGAGGGGAACTACACAGAGCTGGTACGTGTCCAGACGCATGTTGTTTCTCCTGACTCAGAGCAGCACTACCTCTACCCTCCGAGCTTGGGTCGGGAAGGTTGGGGTGACAGGGAGTGTCGAGGGCATTACTCAACCCCCTGTCAGAACAGAAATTAAGCTGGTCTGCCCACGGGTCGTCCTCTTCGTCTTGCCAACAATCTTGAGATTCATCGGCCTCATCGGGAGGGGCCTGACCTACACCCTCCTCCGACGACGACGGGACCCCAGGGCTTCGAAAGCAATCACCAAACAGCTCAGAAAACCTAGCTTTGCGCGCCTCCAGGGCCTCTTGCTGGGCTACTCCCTGGCGGGCCCTGGACACACTGGACTTAGAACCAAAAGTGGGCTCCTTGCTGGGCCTCGGGGCTTGAGGAAGCCTGGGGGAGACCACGAGGGAGCGGGTGAGAAGCTGGAGTCCAGAGCTCCGAAACTCTAAGGCAAGACCCTGATGTGGCTTCCAAGGGACCGCACGCACAGCACTGATTGTTTTGAGAAACGGCGTGGCCTCGGGGCT